GAAATTAATTCTTCCTCTGCCCTTAACTGGTTTAGTGGTGGCCTTGGTAGAGTTAGGTTAATGGTTGGACTGGGTGATCTTCAAGGTCTTTTCCAACCCAAATGGTTCTATGATATAAATGTATCCCTTTCCATACGTTCCTTCTAACCACTTTTTGCTGCAATCATCATTTTGCGCCCCCTCCAAGCACAAATCCCAGCTGGGATCCTGGCTCCCCACCACCCTCCTGCCACTCCCTACCTGACCACGTCCACCATGCGACGGGCGATGCCCTTCCTGCGCCTCAGGCCGAACACCCAGATCCTGCTGATGCCGCAGATGGCGGGCTCCGGCTCGCTGGAGCAGCGCCAAGCCCGGTGGTGCTGCAGGACGTCCTGGCCGAGGGACGGCACGGCTCCCGGCTCAGACAGCACCCGGAAAGCCTGCAGGGATGAGCAGAGGCATCAAATTGCTCCTTCCCGACGGGATGCGGAGCCACCGACCTTCCCGTGCTCCCAGCTTTGCCTTCTGCTGTCTCTGACAGGGCAAAGCAGCACCCAAACCAGGGTCAGGTGGAAGCTCGCCGCAGTATCGGCCGGGCAAGCTCGACTAACTCCTGCCAGCACCATCTCACCCTGACAAAAGCACAAGCTTTTCCTTAATTTCTTTTTGTTGTTGGGTTTTTTTGGCTGGGTTTTTTTTGGCTGGGTTTTTTTTTGTCCATTTGGGTGTTATTTCCTTAGTTTTATGTCCCCCCCATCCCATGCTAAGCCAGGATTTCCAATACACAGGCTTACGCCCGTCATTAGCCCGCAATTTCACCCCCTCCCCATAGAATTAATTCCACCTACCTGCTTGATGGATTCAGCCACCAAGCACCCAACGACCATCTTCTCATTGGACACAAACAAGTACATTTTAGTCTTGTCTGGGCAGCTCAAAGAAACTTGCTTAAATCCCAGTTCGTTATCTACAATTTCTCGCACATCTTCTGCCTAAGAAAACAAAACCGGAGAGAGACGCGTTAGGAACTAACGCACACGTTCTTTGGGGTGAAAGCTGTCAGAAAGGGGACTCGTTCCGCCCAAATAAGCCTGCGCTTACGCGAGGTCAGGCTCTAACTGTGTACGGAACGTTAAAAGACCAGGCGCTCGCTGGTGTCTTCATCCCTCTATGCCTCTTGCCAAGCGCCCCTGCCTCTCGCCCCTGTTCCTTGGGACGGAAAGGATTGGGTTATGTCGGTCATTTAAGAACAAGAGCTTCAGCGCAGGGAGCAGGGTTAGGATCATCGAATCGTTTAGGTTGGAAAAGACCTTGAAGATCATCCAGTCCAACCATTAACCTAACACTACCAAGTCCACCACTAAACCAATTCAGGGCAGAGGAAGAATTCATTTCATGCTTCCTGGCTTGGTGGCTGCATTATTTTTTAATGAAAGTAAAAACTAGGAATCACTAAGGTTGGAAAGGCCTTCTAAGATCATCAGTCCAACCATCAACCCAACACCCCCATGCCCACCAAACCATGTCAGGGTGGGTGTCCACAGCAACCCGGATTGCTGCCATGAGCCCACTCAGCTCTCCTGTTCGCCCTGCGTGCTGGCAAGCCATGTGTGATCACACACTGAGCTAGTTCCGAGAGCTGAGCCAGCAGAAAGCTGATCTACAATATAAACCCCAAAATAAACAAACATGTACCTTCTTGACGGCGTATTTTGGGTCATTTGGAAGAATCAAGACGATTTTCCCATCCCAGAACTCTGCCACAACCCGTTCTTTCTTCCAACCCTGCCACAGAGGGGAAAAAAAAAAAACAACCAACCCCAAACAAACAACAAGTTAGTGGTCTAGCAAGAGAGGGGATGTGATTCAGTGCCAACTCTGGCAGATGAAGCTGTAATCTGAACTGCTTCAGCCTACAGGAATAAAGTCAAGTCACATTCATCAAACTGATGAAGGCAGACATTTGCTGGAACTGCCTAACTTACACTTTAACCTCCCCTCTGGACGACAAAATTTGCCCGCAGCTGTCTCAACTTTGTACCTGGATATCGCCCACCGCTTCCCCACCCCACTGTCTTCTTCAGCTGAGCCGCGAGCGCAGCCATCGCCTTACCACGTATCTGAGCGCCTCGAGGAATCTCTCGTGGTGCTGGATGTGCTGGGCTTCATCCTCCGGGCTTGCGGCCGTGTAGATCATGCCGCACGACTTGCAAACTACGGCACCAAAATGCTTCTGCCCAGCATCCTAGTGAGAAACAGAGCCAGCTAAGCGCTTCTGAAGCTGTTCAAAACCACATTCGGTTTAAGGAACGAGGTTGAGAACTGGTTCTAGTAACAATCATCAAGGATTCGAGTATTTGTTTTCATTTGAATTTGGGAAAAGGAGGACGAGCTTTTGCTTATTTGCAGAATATTCGGAGCTACAGAGCATAAATTATCCAGGGAACAGGATGAATGCATTATTTGGAACGAGCCTTGAAATAGATCAGCAACACCCTCACTGAGGAAACAATGTAAAAGAGCACTGCAAAAAAAAAAATCCAAAGGAAAACTCTGTACAGTCTTTTCATCAGTTATCTGAGAAAGAATTTCACGTTTATCAGTACACAGGGAAGGGAAAAGAAGGAACTGAATGCCAGATGTGCAAGCAAACAGCGGATCGCTCTCCCAGTAGCGAGGGGAAGCGAAGCCTCGTTTGTTAAGGACCCATCTTCTTCCCCTGCGCTGGCTGCTACTGTGGCAGCCGCTTTCCCTTCCCCGCGTCCCCAGGTCGGGCTTCCCCCCGTGTCACAGCACCCACAGGCTGTCCCTTGTGGGCCCGGCGGTCAGACACGCAGCCGAGCTGTGCCGGGGCAGGGCTGGAGCTCGCGGCTCGCCCGCCAGCCGCGTTCAGGGCGGCGATGACTGTACGTGCCGCTCCTTTCCTCTCAGCGCAGGCACTCATCCGGCTTTCTCCCTTCCACAGGGACCAGTTTTCAAAACACTAAAAAAAAAATTTCTATCTGTGAGGTCTCAAATTTGACAGAAATCATCCAAATAACTCAAAAGGTGCTTGAAAGGGCAGATCAGCAGATGAGAATGATCACACAAGCCCTGCTCCCTCAGGAAACAGGCTTGAAAAAGTCTGCGTGTCACCACATGAGAGCAAATGGTCTACTAAAAAAAATTACTCATCGCTAAGGGTGTGTTTTCTGGAAATTGCAGACGTGTGATGGCTACACGACACGTGAGCCTCAGTAACGCCGTTTGGCCTCCTCCTGTGCCAAAAAAATCAGTACTTCACACTGAAGGGTAACAGCAGGAAGGCAGACGCGGGGCTACCAAAGAGGCACCCGCTCGTTAATGGAGCGAGCTCCGTTCGGGCTCGGCTCTGGGTCGCAAACTCCTGCTCCCGTGCTGCCCTGGCTGACGTTTGCCTCTGTGGTTGCGGTGCTGCGCTGACTCTGCTCGCACAGCGGGCCAGGAAGCTGTGGGAAGGGAAAATTATCCAGCCAAATTCACTCCTATAGCACCCATACAGCCTTGGCTGAGTTTCCTTTTGTTTGGGTTTTTGGGTTTTTTTTTTGTGGTGGGGTTTTTTTTTTTTTTTAAATATTATGTTCCATAAATCTCTTTTGAATTCTAAAATGTAATAAAGCGCTAGTCCCAGGGAAACCGTAACAACTATTTCCTAGCTACCACCCTGTCCTAGCCTAGCGCTAAGTACGTTAATCACTGCCCCGTTACGGTCATTGCAGCGCGGTTGGTTTGAGGTTTACACGTAAGGAAATCTACTTATGGGTTAGCCTGAATACATATTTCTTATTTCCTCACCACCAAGTCACCCCGAGGACCCAGCGCGCCCCGAGGAGAACCTTACAATGATCATCTGATCTCTGGAGCGCTTGCAGAGCTCTTTCGCCTTCTTGCTTTTCTGTGAGGTGTGAGATGTTTTTGCAGGTGGGCTGGACCCAAACGGCGAAGTCAGTTCATCCAGCACAGCCTGCGGCCTGAAAATCATTTCAGAAAGATGAAAATTAATTGCTTGCAGACAAAAGTTAACGTTACACATCAGATACCAGGGCAGGGGGAGTGACTCTTATTACGGAACATCCCAAACGAAGCCAGGGACAGCAAAGCCTGTGAGAGCCAAGGTGCCAGCTCCTCCGGGGGAGGGAGGGAAGGAGAGGGGCTCTAGGAAGAGCCACAATTGCATCAGAAGTTAAATAACTCTTGATTAAGCACCTCTCCCACTTCCACAGCCATCCTATTTCCAGGATACTGGAAATTCAGCAGCTCCTTGGACAAAGGGATACACAACAAAGCGAGAAGCAGAGGGCTAGGTCCGTGAAGCACGGAAGCTGCGGGTGAAGAAACAGGTGCCTAAGTCCAGCAGCTCCCTCCTCGAACCACCGCTTACGTGCATCTAGGCATCCAAAACGCTCCTGCGCCGGCTCGGAGTTTTGCGGCAGGAAGCTGCCCAGCTCCGGCAATCTTGCACCCGAGTCTAACTGGGATGTGAAAAACCCAAAGTCTCCCCTAAACAGTCCCACAGACACGCTCCTAGGATCATCGAAGCGTTTAGGTTGGAAAAGACCTTTAAGATCATCCAGTCCAACCATTAACCTCACACTACCAAGTCCACCACTAAACCAATTAAGGGCAGAGGAAGAATTAATTTCATGTTTCCTGGCTTGGTGGCTGGATTATTTTTCAATGAAAGTAAAAGTAGGAATCACTAAGGTTGGAAAGGCCCTCTAAGATCATCAGCCCAACCGTCAGCTGTCCTGGGTTTGGCTGGGATAGAGTTAATTTTCTTCCTAGTAGCTGGCATAGTGCTGGGTTTTGGATTTAGTAGGAGAAGAATGTTGATAACACACAACATTGTGTTTAGTTGTTGCTCAGCACTGCTTATGCCAGTCAAGGAC